AAAAATTTGTGTCGTGAGATGGGGCACAAAAACGTAAGTAATAACTTTTTTTCGATGAGTTGGCCCCAACCAAATTTTTAAAAAAATAGATGCCCAAAATTCAAAAATAAAAATATTTTGGAAATGATTCAAACCAAAACCCGTCAGTAAACCCGGGAACAAAAATATATTTGGGGTCTTTTTTCTTACCCTGGAAAAGCGGTATGGTAACCCCAAAGGGTAGATGGAAATTTTTTTGAAGCCCGGGCCCGGCAAAAAGGGGCCCTTTCGATGGTTTAAAGGGGGGTCTTGGGAAAAAGACCTAGCCGACGAAGCCCATGAGAAGTGGGAAAACATTATCCAAGACGCCACTTTATTTTACAAAAGGGTTTTCAAAATCAAATATGAAAAAAAGTCCAAATTTTGATTTGTTTCTTTTGAAAAATTTCAGAGAAACAGAAAAACGAAAATTTTAGAGTAAACAGTCAAAGCTGTCAAAGGGACTATGAGGATTCATGCAGTGATTGGCCAAGGAGAGTCTCGAATAAAAGTCAGGGAGGTTAGTTGTTACTGTACAGATTGTTTAGTAGGTGGCTCTTGTGATGCTTGGGATGATGAATTCACTAGGACCCAAATAGCGGTCAATAATAACAGTTGAAATACAGTTTGTGCTCAAAAGGAGAAAACTAATGAAGATGTAAATGCCGAAAATAACAGACATGATGAAGCTAGAAATGTAGAAGTAGAAAAATGTACACAAGATATGATGGAAATGAAATATGAAATAGATGATTATGTTGCTTCTGTATATGAAAATAAGTGGTTTATTGGCGTAATAGTTGATAAAGATGAAGAAGAGTATGAAGTTAAATTTATGAAAACCAAGAAGCAGTTCTTTCAATGGCCTAGAAATGAGGATATTGTTTGGCAGAAACCTTGTAAAATATTAACAAAAGTAGATGCCCCAGAAGCTACAGGAAAATCAAAAAGAATGTTCAAAATTAGTGAATATGATAGAGATCGTATTTTGAGTCTTTATGCATTGTATAATGAAAAGTAGTGATGCCACTTAACCTTCGTTATCAACAAGACTGTTTGTGTTAAATTTGTCATTAAGTTTGACATATCATGACATATTTTGTAGCCATGTCACACAAATTATTTAAACGTGATTGGCGATGTCTATTAGAACTATCGGAAACTTATCCATGTGACTAAAATGATGTATTATGTTATTTTCTGATTCTAGGGAAACCTTCGTTACCATAAGTGTTTAATCGTTTGTCTTGATGAGGTGATCTTATTGCATATCTAGATTATTAGATTGTGTTTAATGGTTTTAAATGAAAAGGAAATAATCTAAGAAACACTTTGTTAGACTATATCGGTTCACTATTCTGACTTTTAATGTTTGTTTCATGAATGGCAACCATTCAATCAGTGAATTTATGAAATACAATAGACAATGCTATGACCAAATATTCATAACATACATTTTTGTATAAATCATTTCTGTATCTGTTCATTCTTGTGTTGAAAATTAAATAGATCTTCGATCAGATTTAAAACATTTTTGTATTTTTATAAATCAAAACCTTCGTTATTTTTTTGGTGAATTATTAATGATTGCGACGCGCTAAAAATAAGCCCGGAAACAAATAAGGTGCTATTTAGCTTAATATCAGGTACGGCAGCATGTATTTCTTGATGTGTTAAAATCGAAATAATATATCCAAATCAGTGATTTTATCAAGCGATTTTTGTCGTTCGAATGCGAGGAATTAGCGATAAAATCACTGTTTGGGATATATTATTTCTTAACTAAATTTAAATTCACAGACATAAGCATATTATGTTCTCAATTGAACAAAACCTAAATGAAACAACTAGCTGGACGTTTATCTGCGTTTGATATTGTATTAGTATGAATATAAATTTAATTAACGATAAACTGTTTCAGTAACACGTTGCTTCAAATTCAAATTATTTGATATAAATACAACCTTTGAATGAGCCATGTGAAATGATTTGTATAAATGCGATGTTAAATTTAGGCAGACAGAAAAATATATTGTTACTACACAATAAAGCGACAATGTTCATATATGATTACAATCGTGAGTCTTCAAGATTTAGACATCATAAAAACAGAAGGAAGTCAGGAAACAATACTTGTGGACTTTTTCTTTTCATGTTATTGCAAAGATATATCTAGATATCCTCTAATTGCCTATTATATACATTTATGATTTGAACTTCTTACATGAATTTATACCTCCTAAATTATAACTAGTACTTGTAACTTATCTTTTTAGCAATAAAATTAGCCAAATACGTTGCTTAATGGGTGAAATGGACTTAATATACGAAGGTTAAAATAAATGTTTATTTAGAATGAAAAAAAATAGCACATTTAAACAGTACTCTAAAAATATAATATGATATTTTAATAGTATATTATATCTAATATTTTAACCTTTGTCTTGAATGGAAACAGATCTTAAAAGCGTAAGTGTGACACATCAAGTCGTATGTGGAAAGAGAAAGAAAAATGTCCTCTATTGTTCGAAAGAGACACGATATTAATCAATATGTGTTATTTGATGTATGAAGGGCACCTTAATAGGGCCGCCTGATCATCCACAAGTTTACTATATTGTTGCCTCGCACCTTACACGCCTTGCTAAGCGTTAATGGTTTTTAGATCAATACATTCAAAATGTTGCACGGCAGTTGTAAATACCAGCCAACATCCATCCCCTAGCTAAAAACCGTCTCAAACAAAACTCGCCATTTAAACATGATTTGGTGACATTTCAAATTTAGAAACATCCGAAATCAACGTTCATGTAACGCAGCAACTAACAGCAAAACAGATTGAGCACCGTACACTAAGATATAAACAACATTCATTTTGCAGTTGTTTCCTGTATACAATAAGGAGGGGAATAAACTTTAAAATAACGAAAGTCTATCACCGGAAAAATAGAAGTTTCAAATATTACAATTACACAATCATATTATTTTGGTTTTCAACGTTTTCCTAAAACGAGGAAGAAAGACTGTGTACAATGACTTAAATTAAGCTCTGTTGTTCAAAACATCATAAATGAACAACTTGTTATTCGAAATGTAATGTTTAAATCAAGAAATTGATTGCATAAACATTGTTTCAACTTCATTCCTAAAGCCTATTTTTATTGCATCCACGGTGGTTTCGTAAATATTTAATGACTAAAGGGGAGTAATTCTTGCTAAAACACACGGAATGATAGCATGGATTACCTATAACTACTATAATAACCTTTAATATAATATGTTAGAAAAATGGTTTCACGTCGCACCGATACAGTATAGGTCATATGACGACTTTCTTGCTTTACTGGTGGTGGAATACTGCAGATACCCTCTGTGCGTTATTACTGGCACAATCGGGCACCTGAATAGCACCGCCGTTGTTCCATAAGCTAGATGGATAGCTTTCCTACATGAAATAAATCTTAAGATGCTTGCACGACTCGAACCCTACATCTATAACTTTATTACTATGAATACAACATTTGACAAAAGTTTCAGGTAATCGATTGTGTCGTGTCTTGTCTTTTCTTTTTCTTGTAAGCCGGAATTTAAGAACAGAACAGAACAGAACAGATATTTTATTAAGACTTGTACAAAGTACATCATCTACAATACATTATATTCATATATGTAATATTTAGCTGCATGAAAATAAACAAACAAAACCAGGATATTACATTTTATTTATACAATAGTTTCCTGACAACAATCAATCAATCAATCGATCAATCAATCAATCAATCAATCAATCAATCAATCAAACAAACAAACATGTAGTTATGGAAAAATGTGCATTTAATGTCTACTTTTATAATTAAATAAGATACTTTATGGATATTTTTGGAATCAAAACAAAACATTATGAGAATGAACATTAATTGTTATCAGACAGTAGCAGATGAAATTAAAGAGCTTCTTTCACAAATTTAGATAAACGTATAAGCTCATTTTTATTTTTTGAGTTTAACAGTTGAGTGAATTTGTAAACTGATGGATTTCTGTAAGGAGCGAGTTTTAATTCAATGTGTGGCAGCAGTTTTCTGATGTATTTTTCATCTTTCTTTAACATTGTTCCTGGTTATTACATGGATGTAAAATGAAATAGTTTTTAATAAACAACTTACGTACAGAGTCGTGGGACAAGTTTTCATAATTTGTGTCATATAAAGATACTTTAAAATAGATAATGTATAATACAGTACTTAAAACTATATTTTTTTTGCCAAATAAAATAAACAATAAAGTAAACATTTCATTTGTTTCCAGTGTTTCGTAAATTGTGAAATCGAAAGAGGATGTTTATTAAAGCTAAACGTTTAATATCTGATATATTGGTATGTCTGCTTTTTCTTTTTGAAATTATTTTTTATTTATTTTATACGTATTCTGTGTTAGATCACATTCAAAACAAAATTATAATTAATGTTTATATTCGCCACTTTTTTCATTTATGTATCAGATTTTAAAAATAAACAAATATGTTTCAAAAGAAAGGAAAACAATCATTTTAAAACCGAAATATGTTAGATCTACTAAAAATTGTGACTAAATTAATTATTTAACTAAGATACATTCAACATAAATTGTATTTTATTAAATAGACAGATATGTATTATCCAAAATTAATATTCATACTTGAAATGAAATGTCATACTTTGTATTTCTTTTAATCTTGTTTTCTTGTCGTTAGTTTGAAAGAAAATCGGGAAATATTTTCAAACACTTTGACTTGCATATATGGAGAAAAAAGGCCAATTACAGGGCACGTTTTCAACATTTTAAACTTATATATAAAATAATAAGCAAGTTAACATATTGACTTAGACTTTTACTTGAGCATTACTTAATATTTATTTTTATTGCAATCTTCATGTTGGGTAAAATATGTCATATTTGTGTCGCTTTAACACTATTTCATAAATAATCTGCTATTTTATGTTTGAGGATTGAAAAATGGCGGCAGTTCTAGGACGAACTGAAATCGGAATTAAAAAGACTGGAACAACTGTGTCAGTCCCTGATAATCCAAAGGCAAAACTGATGTACTATCTGAATTGTATGTGCTCCGTGTTAGACCTCAGTGGTACAGATAACTTGACCAGGCTAAGGTTCATTTACTATTTATTTGAAACACTCTACAAGTCTTGCACTTTCACGATATTATTTTAGTAATGTTTAAAGTTGGAACGACTTAGCGACTTATTTAATACCAAGGTTGCCCTGTTGTGCTTTATATCAGATATTGCTGCACTCTATAATACAGAACGTATAAAATGATCAAGAACTTGATTTTTATTATCATGTTATTTATTTTGATTAAGATCATTTTTAGCAATATGTGTAGTTACCCACTTTAATGCAGAATAATTTTGTTTATAGAAATTACAGACAATACTCGTCACTGACTGAGGCGGAAACTGACGCCCTTGTAACACTCTGCTTTCTGTTGTCCCCAGATGAGTTATCTGGCAAAGTCATTTTCCAGGTATTTGCAAGAACAATCATCCGCAATACCTTTTAAATTTTAACGGGAGAATTATATCTCAAAAGCATGTACGAGTATATTTACCTAACACTCGATTCTTTCTAATGTTGAATCGGCATATCATATTTAACTCTTTTTTAAAACAGGTGAAACCGAATACTATTATAAACATTGGATTTTAAGCAAAGTGGCACATAACATTCAAATTTTAATGGATACGTAAGAAATACTTGTTTACGTCTCAATCAGGAAGTAGCTATATCTTGTTGATCTCATTTTTGAAATGTTTTATTCATTGATAATAACACAGTATTATAACTTCCTCTTGAAATATATCTACATTTTACGGTGTTCCGTTTGGACACGTTTGGACAATCGTGACATTCTATTTATTCTGTACCCGCGATGCACGAAGGTACGATGGTGAAAACGCGATGGCACGATGGTACAATGGTGAAAACACGATGGTACGATGGTGAAATCACGATGGTACGATGGTGAAAACGCGATGGCGCGATAGTACGATGGTGAAAACGCGATGTGACATCGCGTTTTCACCATCGTACCATCGTGATTTCACCATCGTACCATCGTGTTTTCACCATCGTACCATCGTGCCATCGCGTTTTCACCATCGTACCATCGTGCATCGCGGGTACAGAATAAATAAAATGTCACGATTGTCCAAACGTGTCCAAACGGAACACCGTAACATTTCTATCATCTTTATCATGACTATTTTAGTTAACAAAAAGAAAGAAAAAAACTGACCTTTAAACATTCTAACTTCTGAAAGGATGGTTTTGTTGAAAACAAGTCTGAACCTTTTAATTGTTTATATAATTGTGAGATTTATTCACTGAAAAGCATTTTAATGATAAAAATTGGCATTTTTCTTTACTCGTATTGTTTAATTTCTATCCAAAGTAATATTTTGCAATTTAATTGTTAATAAAACTACGCATAAATGTAAAGATTAATAAGGAACCGATGTTAATTTAGTTCTATCAAAATCCAAATTAGTAATATTGTAGTATGACAATTTTTGGCTTTGAAATAGCTATATTTAAGAAAATTAAGCCTTAGTAATTGTTCACATTAAATTACATCGATATTGAACTGCATACACTTGATATTAATATATATAATGATTAAAGTACTGTGATTTAAATACAACAATATAATCACATGTTATTGTTTATTTTGTTTTAGCCCTGTGTTGTTTATTAATAGACAGTTTGTAAAGGAAAATTTCTATCAAGGGTCATATCAATGTAGAAAAAGTCGTCAAGGCAACTATTATTTTTATAAATAGTTATTTTAAGCGGTTTTCCAATGGTATTATAATTAACCTTCAATTTACTAGTCCCAGGTATCTTTCAAAGTTTGCTACAGCTCTTGGATAGACAAGTATAAAACGACAACTTGTGTATGATCCGATAAGTAATGCTGACTTTGTATAAAATGAACATTTCCACCAAAATTGCAAATTTGTAACAATATATAATTTATAGGTCTAATTAGATCGTCTATGTTTTTTTCACGCATATCTGTTAAATTAACCTTAATACTATTCTTTCACTCATGATACTTGTATATTGTTATATCTGTATAAACATTACTATATAACAACCTAAGCTTTAAAAAACACACACGTTATTTTTCTGTTTATAGGATGCCACTATGTGTGGGGATAGAAGTAATGAATTTTATGAAATCAGTGCCGTACGTAACAACTTACTGATCTCTGATTCTATAATTATTGGTGGACAACGCAGAGCGGTTTCAAAAATCATGGCGTTCAAACAACAATGGCTGATCAACTATTGGGTCAATCCAATGAAGCATTTTGCTCCTCGACTTGCTCGAATTGCTGGTGCTGCTGCCGCAGCATCTAGTAATACCCGGGCTGTTACCGGAAGTACACCTCCAAGACGCGCAATCGCATACAAATCGTCCTCCGAGACTATCAACAGAAGGAACAACAGTAACAGCGACGACTGCTGTTGCGTCATCCTGTAAAACATTCGCTTTTTTGTCGGACGCATGTTCTGTAACGTGTATAGCCAATATCAGCCTTACATGTCACAAGTATCTTATTTTACATTTATTCTGTTCTACATTATACTTGTTGTGTGATACAAAGTTTGATAATGCAGCCATTGGACAAATTATGAATGAATGTCCTAAATTTCTGACAATAACATAAAGAATAGTTTTTTGTTACATGTTTGAAAACATTTATTTTTGTTTGGGTTTTTCAAATATTTTATGTACGTATTGTTGGTGAAAATGATTTTTGGTTTCAAAGTTTAAGTTCGTTAATATTTATTATAATGATAGCTCCGGAAGATGAATCGCCTCGGTCAAACGATGTCCGCTTTATTAAATTTACCATACTTTCAAATCTTTTAACCCCTGTTTCATTTTATTTTCAAGATAAAATAATACAGACATTTATTATCTTGCTTGTTTCTATTCTTTTTAATATTCCTTTATTTGCAAAACTAAGTTTTTGTTCTTATTTTTCTAAACAAGATCAGACGTGGGCAAGCAGGTTTTCCAAAATGAAGAATTTTATTTATGAAATAATTTTCAAATTTACAAGTTTCCAAATTTTGAAATCAAAAGGTTTAAAATTTGTCAAGATCTAATTATCATATATAATTTAATAAGTAACGAAGAAAATACATTGACAAAAGGTCGCAAAATAACTTGATAATATTCGCCGATAAAAGGCGTTAAACCTGTGTAATAATTCTTTAAACCATATAAGAAAATATCACATACCGCGGAAAGCACAAATTCCCGTACATCGGCGTTACCTCATAAAAACGGCTTGAATCACATTTTTGTCAGTTTATATTTCAAATTTTCTATATCACAAGAAGTTACGTTTATGTCACTTGCCTACCGAAAATCGAAATTATACTGTAATAATATGTATTGTTGTACTTATAAAAATCAACAAAAGCCAAAATCTCGCTCAAAACGATGGTAAAGCCATCAATTTTCACGAATGATCTTGAAAAGTAAATAATTTCGTGGAAATAATCTTGACGAAGGATAAAGAGTTATGTCTTCGCAGCCGTAAGCGGCTATTGATTTTTTTCAGTTCGGTTAAATAGAAAATATATTGGCCTGTTTGCTTACCGCGTTGGAAATCCTGTCAAGTATCAGCCATTTATTGCCACAATTGTACGTTACTTATTGCACGAATCGTACGTTATTTTCACATTCCGGCGTTACTGGATATACATTGTGTAAATGAATATATTGGTATAAAAGTATACAGGAAAACAAAACCGGCTGAGTAAATGATATATTTAGAATAGGAGGTTTTAGTAACTCGAAGGGAGCGAAACATCTTATACAAAAGAAGCCTTTATTCCATTGAAGATAAAGTCAGTGTTAAACTATAAATCATATAATTGGAGCATGTGGATAAACGATATACTAAATCACGGCCGAAGCAATGAAAACAATGAAGGAATCCGGAATAGTACATGTATTATTAATACAAGGCCAAACCGGCCGGACCGTCAACGACGCCCTGCAGCTGAACGATACGTTTTTATAGAATGACTTGCAATTATTTAAATAATTGCTAAATTTAGAATCACAGACATTAATAATAATATATTCAAATAAACCAAATCTCAATCAAAACAACAATTTTGACGTTAATCAGCATTATATATTATAAAATGAACGATAAACTATTTCAGTAACAAAACAATGATGTACGTTTCTTCAAATCATATTATTTCATATAAAATAATAAAACTTTTTAATGATACATGATGCATGTGAAATGATATGTACAAACGCGAAGAAATCAATTGATACTGCACAGTAAAGCGACAATGTACCAGTAGGAGGTCACCTTCTCATACGACACAAATCAGCCACCATATAAACCAAAAACACCAAGTCTAAAGTCAGTCGTCTAATATGTATCCACCGTTATTTGCCGTGCTTCTATCTAATATTCTATTACTAAAGGGGAGTAATCATTGTAAGAAAACAAGCCAGGATAGCATTGATTACCTATAATTGCTAAAATTATGTTTGAAATATGGTGCGCTATAACGTGGAAATTTAGTAAATATAGTTAAGCCAAAATTTCTCAAAATGAAATAGTATTTCTCTTCTACTTTCTCATAGATACAACTATCGTGAAAAAGTTTATTTTTGTGATTTGCATGTATAAGGATATCAATTAAGTGAAATCATCCTTTTCTACCTTTTTCGGGGTCCCTTTTTAAATTTTGAAAGATGTGTAAAGCTTTATTTCTATCATTGCTTTTAAAAGTTTATAAAAAGAAAAAAAAATTAAAACAGTAGATAACTAAAATACTTAATGCAAATTGTCATAAGGGAAAAAATATAGTTTATTTGCTGTAAAACCAAAATACTGAACAGGTCAAAAAGGAAAGGGGGCGGGCTTTTCAAGAACGAAACCCCCAAACGATAAAGCAAGAACCACGGTGGGGGCCCAGGAGGCCCCGCAAAAACCCAAAACCAACAAACTTAACGACAATATTTCTTTCTTTTAAAGTATTTTTCCCCTTTTTTCTTCTCTGTATTTACATTTCCCTCCTTCCTCCCTTCCCTCCTCCTGATGAAAATATCAAATTTTAGTACGTTTATTTTGCTTACATCATACAACCAAAAATGTGACCTGAAATCTTGCAATTACGAAATCCCTCAAGAAAGTAACAAACAGCAAAATTGAAATGTTGGGCAGGTTCTGTTTGTTTGTACTTAAAATCTTGCAATTACACACAAACATTTTACCACCAATATATCTACCATCCTAGGGCGTAAGACTATTTATATATTATTGAGAACAGTACATTTTAGAATATCAGTTATGGATTAAAATAATGTACGAAGTATTTTTGATATAAAATATTATACAATTCGTTGTAATGCATGTAAAAAAAACGCAGCAAACCTATCAAAATAATTCAGCACTAGCATTCGGCCAGAAATTTAGAGATTGCGGGCATTCCCCGGTCCTGACACATTGTGTAAATATTAAAAATTAAGTTCTGCATAAAAACCCAATCCGTTGTCATATGAATGATGACTTACTGAGGATGGGTTACGAATGATTATACACCTATAACTTCTTTTATGTCGCACCAATACAGTATGTCATATACAGACTTTCTTGCTACGACCTCAGATGCCCCTGTATGCGTTATGTCAGGCAAAAACTTGCCCCTGAGTAGCACCGCCGAGTTTTCATTTTCAATTTTGCCGTGTTGGGCTTTCTTTAGGGATTCTGTATTTATCTATTTCATAAGCTAGCTGGAAATTTTTCCCACGTGTAAGAAATCCGAAGATGCTTGCACGGCTCGAAACTACGACGGTGAGAGGCAAGTGGTTTGAAGTCAACGACCGAAACCAGTCGGCTACGGTTTACCCTTCATCTATAACTTGATTACTATGCATACAACATTTGACAAAAGTTTCAGGTAATCGATTGTTTCGTGTCTTGTCTTTTTTTGTCTTGTCAGTCTGAAGGAGCGAGTTTTAATCAAATGCGTAGCAGCAGTTTTCTGATGCATTTTTCATCTTTCTTTAACATTTTCCCTGGTTACTACCTAGATGTGAAATGAAATGGAAAGACAATTTTAATAAATACTTACAGAGGCGTTGGATAAGTTTTCATAGTTTGTGTCATGTAAACATACTTTTAAATAGATAATGTATATTAAGATACTTAAAACTATATTACTTCTCAAATGAAACACACAATAAAGTAAACATTTCTTTATTTCAGTATATCTTAATGTGTGGAGATAAAATCCCCAAAAATAAAGGTATAAAAGAAAAAAGGATGTTAATCAAAGGTAAAAAATTTGATATCTTACAATTGGTAGGTCTCTTTTTTGAAATTTTTATTATATACATATTTGTTAAAAACAAAAAAACTTTCAAACTAAAAAATTTTCATTAACGATGATTAAAATATATTTGTTCCCCATTTTTTTTTTATTTCGTTTTTAGAAAAGAAAAAAACTTTCATCTCTTTTGAAGAGTTGTTTGAGAAAATGGGAAAACGAAAATTGAAAATTCGAAAAAGAAAATTTTTTTTGGTATTTATGAAACATTTACCGTAAAAAGAATTTTGTAAATATCAATGTTTATGGACCGGGTTTTATTGTTGTGTGTACATGTTTTTGAGGATTTTAATTTCTTAAAATTTACATTTTTGACTTGGGTGGTTCCAATTTTCCAATTTGAATACTGTATGATCACGATAATGTTGCCTCTTGTTTTTTTTTTAATTTGTCATTTGTCAATTTTATATGTTCTTTAGGGATTCTTGTTTTACTTATTTTATGAAATTTTGACGTCGGCCTGTCTTTTGCTTTGGTGAACATTGCATTTGGTAGGTTCATAGACATAGACTTTTGCTTCATCATTACAACATGTAATAATGTACTGCCCATAGTTGGTAATGAATGAAATTTATTTTTTTTTCATGTTGTGCGAAATATGTCATATTTGTGTCGCTTTAATACTGTTTCATAAATAATCTGCTATGTGTATCAAAATTTAAGGTTTGATGATTAAATACTGATATAATGGCGGCTGTCCTAGGACGAACTGAGATCGGAATAAAAAAGACCGGTACTTCTGTGTCAGTCGCTAATGATCCAAGAGCTAAACTGATGTACTATCTAGATTGTATCTGCTGTGCGTTAGACCTCAGTGACACAGATAACCTAACCAGTCTAAGGTACATTTACTATTCATTTGACACACACTACACATCTTACACATTCACGATATCATTTCAGTTATGTTTTAGTTGATCCGACATAGGTGCCTTATTGCGACTTATTCAATGTCAAAGATGCCCTGTTATGCTTTATATAAGATATTGTCGGGCGAGTTAAACTCTCTGCTTAGTTTTTTTCCCAATTTGTTTTTCGCTATTTCAAAAACGGAATTCTAAAGGGCATAGGAAAATCCCAATAAGTTTTCGTAATGAAAAAACCATCCCCCGTGGGGAGTCCCTTTCTATAAAACTTTTTTCTTTCCCGTAGCTGCAAAATCAAATTTCGGGACTTTTCCCCCTTTGGCAAAAGGTTCATGTTTCATGTCGAAATCATGGTTTTTAAAAACTTTTTTAAAAGTTTTATGAAAAAAAAATCCCTTTTTAGAAATTTTTTTAAATTTTTTTTTTATGAAAGAAATAAAATTTAATGAGAAAATTTAAAAAAAAAAAAGAAAAAAAATGTTGACGTGTTGGATTTTTTGTAAAAAGGCAGTTTTTTCCCTGGTAAACCCTATATCTAAAAAATGTCAAATAGCCTTCGGGGGTTATAACGAATAGAAAATGTATTAGATAGCTTAAAACACACAACGAGCATCTTTGTTTTATGCAAAGATAACCTTATCTAATGATTCGGTATGAAAACAAATGATAATCTGAACATATTTCTTTAAAAAATGAGTTTTTACCATGTTCCTCAAACCGAACAAAAAATGAGAAAAATGAAATGAATTCTCAAATAATTAGAGATATTGAAAAAAGTGTTTCATAGAATTTTCTTATTTTTTTTTGTATATTGTGTAAAATTTAATGACAAATTCAAAAAGAAAAAGAAAAATATATGTTGGCCGTGTTGGATTTTTTGAAAAATGGCAGTTTCCCATTGGGTAACCGTATATCTCAAAAATTGTCAAAATATCCAAACTGTATTATAATAATGTATAAAATAGGCTTATTACACTCACAATAAAACATAATTTTATACAAAGCTTGCTTTATCTTAGGATTCTGTATAAAAACAAACGATAATTTGGACATATTTCTTTAAAAAATGAGTTTTCATGCTTTTTAACTAAAAAAAAATGAGAAAAATAAACATGAAAATTTTCTGTAAAAAATTAAAGCTATCAAGAAATTTCTTTTATAGAATTTTCTTCATTATGATATATAAAGTAACATTTGATTGTGGATTCAAAATAGAAATAAAATATATATGTTGAAGTGTTAGTATTTTGTAAACGGGCAGTTTCCATGGTTACCGCAATATGCCAACTGTCAAAATTACCCACGCTTTCTTAAGAAATAACAGTGTTATACTAACCGATTGTCAAATATAAAAAATGTTGTAATAAGAATTTCTTTTTCTTTTGATGTTATATTAAGTAAATGATACAATTTTTTTTTTTAAAACATATCTAGGGCCATATTATTTTTTTCACTCGACTAAATACCCGATAGTAAGCAAGTATTCAGAAATTTACAAAGAAAATAATGAAATTCTGAACATTTCTTGGATATTAATTTTGTTTTTTTATTCAACACTTTTAAAATATATCATTTTAAACTTTGCCCAGTTGTCTGCCAGTAATCAAGTCGCGACGCACTTTTGTCACTATACCACAAGTGGGTGGGGTAACGCGCGCAGAATTATCATCAATGCAGTCGTACTAATGCTTGGAGAAATACTTTTATGTGATGTTTGTCTAAACGACATTCTTATTCTTTTGAACCAATCTCCTTTTGAACATTTAGAAATATCTATTCTTTATTATTGACTCATTTTTTGCTTATAGCCGAAATTTAAACACTTATCCGAATACTATTCAACTTTACCTTCATTTGAAGAGTAATTATCCGTGATTATCTTTCTTGGATGCGCAAAACGATGCGCATAGAAAACTACCGAAAACGTCTTTAAATGCACTTTTTTCATACAGCCGAATAATGTTATGTTACGGAACATTTTATTCTGTTAACGTGCAGGTGTGTTAAATGACAGAGTTAAGGTGTGTTACATTCTGTAGAGAATCGAGAATAGAATAATGGAAACAACGAAAAATTACAATTTTTACACTCTATAAAAATATCCCATTGTATATAGTTTTAATATAGGTCATATACCTGCCAACGCCTATCCCGATAAAAGAACAAAATTTAGTCTTACAAAATAATCCTGTGACTTAGAAACCAGAATAAATTTATTATACATTTGGAAAATTGAACAACAACAACAACAACAACAAAACTAAGCACTAAATATATATAAACGTTTTATTATTCCATTTTATATCTTTATTATGATCTTGTTTAAAAATATTTTATATATTTATTTTGCTATATACGGTTCTTTGTTCTTTGTTGCGTTCAGTTGTTGCATTTAACAGTCTACGTTGCTACGTAATAATATAATACAGAACGTATAGGATTTTCCAGAAGATGATTTTTTCATAAATTTATTCTTTTTGATTTAAATCATGTGTTAGCAATATGTACAGTTCTTCACTTTAAGTACATTTATTTATTTACATAGAAACTACAGACAATACTATTCACTGACTGAGGCGGAAACTGACGCCCTTATAACACTCTGCTTTCTCTTGTCCCCAGATGAGCTATCTGGCAAAGTCATTTTCCAGGTATTTGACAGAACAATTTTCAGCAATACCTTTTATATTGTTATAGTTTATTAAACAATTTTATTCATTTCGCTAAATGTCAACGAACGTAATTATTATAAGAAATAAAAAAAGTTTTGTTTGCATAACAGGTCTGCATAGGCAAATTTTACGAAAGCGTATGGTGCCGATTTAACAGGTTCTATAAAAAAAACTCCTACGTAGCAGATAAAAAAACCTAACTAGGATTTTATATCCTTGATATAGATAATATGACAGTATTACCTCCTGTTTTTATATTTACATATCTATTCTTAAGCATGACTACTTTAGTTAACTTTAGTCCTACGTTGGACATTAACTACTACGTAGTGAAAAAAATCCTAATAAGGAGTTTGTATCTCTTACGTAGGACTTTATAAGTCCTACGTACGACTTTAGGACTTTATAAGTCCTACATAGGACTTAAGGACCTTTAAGTCCAAAGTAGGACTTTAGGACTTTTTAAGTCCTATGTTGGACCTTTTAACTCCTACGTACGAGATAAAACAAGGCTAATTAGGAGTTATGAAACCTAACGTAGGAGATATAAACTCCTAATGAAGCTTTTTTTAAATCTCATATGTAAGAGTTATCCTTTATATAGAACATGTTAAACTGGAACTTTGACGCTTCCGTAAATTAAGTTGAATATTTTTAAGCATAAGAAACCGAATTTATGTTATTAACAGCGGATTTTAAGCAAAGTGAAACATAACATTATAATTTTAAAATTTTAATGGATAAGTAACACATACTTGTTTACATTTCAATAAGGAAGTAAATATCTAACTTATCGATTTCAGTAAAGATAACAGATAAAGCGGCAACCTGTCCTTGATACATGTACTTTTAGGAAAGTAGACCGGCCGATTAATCTGTCTTCCATGAATCCAGTTTAATTCATTGATAATATCACAGTATTACTTCCTCTTTAAATATATCCACATTTATATTATCTTTATCATGACTACTTATGTTAACTTACTAATTAAACAAACAGAAAGAAACACCTGCATTCTAAACATTCTAGCTGCTGAAAGGCTGATTTTGTTGAAAAGAAATCTGAACCCTTTAATTATTTATATAATTTTTAGTAAGATAAATTGACTGAAAGGCATTTTAGTGAAATTTAACAATTTAATTGTTAATGAAACTACGCATGAATGTAAATAATTAAAAGGCATCGTTGCTTATTGAGTTGTATCAAATTCCAAATTAGCAATATTGTGTTTTGACAATTGTCTTTGAAAAAGTATTTTTAAAAAAATTTAGGCCCTTGTTATTTTTCCCCTAAAAAACATTTTTATATTGAACTCCTAAAAATTGCTATTTAAAAATATAACCCTGGGATAAAGATCAAATACGGTAAATCTAAATTTATCATATAAAAGTTTGGGGGCCTTTCGTTGAAAAAGTGTCAGATTTAAAAGTATCTATAATGCACAGTGGCGCTGACTGGAGGCAGGGTTTAGATACCCCCACTCCCGAGCTGGGCCCTTGAAATTTGGGTCATTTTGTGCTGGATTTTACTTATTGTGACGGCAGGGAAAATGAAAGCGACAGAAATATCATATTCAGATGCTCGTTCATTGGTTCCTTTTTTCTGGGGTTTTATATTGTGACAACAGGGAACGTGTTTTTCTGTTTGACTTTGATACAAAAGAGAAAGACCATCAAAACACTCTGCAATATTATTAAAGCTTAAAAAAACCACCACATTATTTTTCTGTTTATAGGATGACACTATGTGTGGGGATAGCAGTAATGAATTTTATGAAATCAGTGCCGTACGTAACAACTTGGTCATCTCTGATTCTATAATTATTGGTGGACAACGCAGAGCCGTTTCGGAAATCATGGCGTTCAAACAACAATGGCTGATCAACAATTGGGTCAATCCAATGAAGCATTTTGCTCCTCGACTTGCTCGAATTACTGGTGCTGCCCGAGCTGTTACCGGAAGTTCACCTCCAAGACGCGCAATCGCATACAGGACGTCATCCGAGTCTATCGACAGGAGTGACAACAGTAACAGCGACGACTGCTGTTGCGTTATCCTGTAAAACATTCGCTTCTTCGTTGGACGCATGTTTTGTTACCTGTAAACAGAGTATCAATGTTACATGAATCTTAATTTACATTTATGGTGTTCGACATAATGATTGTAATGTGATACATAAATGACCTGTGAATTACACTTTATATATATTTATTAAATATGTTATTTCATTTACTAATCTAAGCATGATTTATTTAGCATATTTTGATAAAACAATCAATGGGAAATTCTTAATGATGTCTAATTGCTGATATAAGATAAAATTAGTTTGTTTACATGTTTGAAAATATTTATATTGTTAATTCATTCAATGATTTTACTTACATATTGTTTTAATGATTTGGTTTCTAAGTTGAAATGAATCTTAAAATCCTTGGAAATAATCTTACTACTAATCATAAAGAACAAAACGCAACAATTATATATTTATACGCACGAACAGATTACGATGTATTTTTTTATTTGGAAAATCAAATTCAGCCAGACAATATGATAGTATACCCGGTGAATATAATTTTTTTTTCTGGTGACCACTTTATTAAGCTAATGACATTACAGCTTAATGCAGCTTTATGGTCAACAATGCGGAATTATCTTAATTTAACAGAGAGTGTTTCAAAATAAACCAGAAGTGAAAAGTCTTTATACATATACATTGTATCCGGTAAATTCCTAATTATGTGCAATTTTCTGTAAGTTAAATAACTGATGATGAAAATATGCAGTTTTATTATTCGACATATTGTCACTCAAAGTTCATACGCTTACATATATATTATACTCAAATACATGTATACCGATAAATGCTATAAGTATCTTTCTAAATGAAAATATAATAAGCATCATATGTAATTAATGTAGTCTATTAGTAGGGAAACAACCCTGGCATGTCATAATGTTCATATGTATACTAGTTACAAGTAAAAACTTATAAACCTAGAATATTTTCTTTCCAATCCGGAGATCTGGCATTTGTCAGCAAGTTGTCTCTTTTTCAAAATAAAATTTTGATTCATTATATCGCAGAGTCCGATATCCGGACAATTTATGTCCGAAGAAAATCAGCCATATGTTCTTTAAAAGGCGTATAATACATGTATTATATCCATGTAATTGTTAATCTTTCCAATGGTCTGGCATTTTATACAACAATAGACAAAATACTGAAAACCTAATTTTCCTCAGTAAAACGTTAACAATATACGGTAGAGTTGTTTTTTTATTGTTCCCTCTGCTAGTTGAACATACAGTGAATGAATGTTGCCCAGTAAACTGGTACACACAGTATGAATAAAAAGTGTCATTAAGAAAGGAATATTCAGCTCTTAATACGGCTTTGTGTTCATTTTGTTTCAATTTAGGAATATTCAATTCAAAATACGACTTTGCCCCAATTTGATTTTCATTCAGGTCTACATTTGTAGAGCGCTTTACGCATAATATCTTTCTACAAATGTAGAGTGAATTAGTCTATACGATGACCCCATATTTCAGCCACGTAATTAAACGAACTCGCAATCAATGAATCGAATAAATTACATTTTGTTGGACACTGATAAATTGAATTGTTTAAAAAAATGAACAAGTTATGCAATATATAGGAAAGTCCCTTACAATATAACTTTAATTACTAGAGATGGAAAGACAAGAATAAAGATCAACAATGCAAAAGCAACGTTTACATGACGCAGACCTCCGACACACCCAAGTAGGGGCACCCAGAAGGCACCAAACAAAAATCAAGAGTGCAAATAAGGGCGGCGAAAGGAGTGGGACATGTAATGTGTCGAATAATACAAACTAAAACGGGCCCATAGGGGAATTAACGGGATAGTGGCTGTAAGGATTAAAGGGGGGAGGTAAAAATTGGAGAAGGAGGTGTGAGAAAATAAGTACCGTCAACGCCAAACCAACCAGACAGACATCACAAAACATGTAACAATATAGTATCAGACATGAAAAACACGTGAAGGAATACAGAGGGGTACCGCCTTGGAACAGCCAGTGGTAGTTAAAATAGAGAGATAAAAAGAATCCCTACAGAAAGCCCATCAAGACAAAAATGAAAATGTTTTAGGCTCGGTTTGATTGAGCCTGTTCTAGGACGGTAATGGAAAGTGCAAGTGTTACCGTCCACGCCCCCTAGCACCGGCTTAAGCAGAATTCAACATTTAATCATGGTAATGGTGAAATTTTGAATTTAGAAACATCCACAAATGTGTTCATACGGCGGTTATTAGAAGACACTTCCGTGCCATTCCATGAAAAGCGGCGTATGGTCCCCAAGTTAAAGTATGCGTGTGCCCTCAACGAGAAAACAATGGGCGGAAATATGTTCCTGAATTACACGAAAATGTTAATGAAATTAATTCCTGCAAAGAGAAATTCTAACAATTGTCATGGTTTCATTAGACGAAATAAATAAAACACGTAAAAGATTGTGTAAAAATGAAGGAAAAGGTACAGTCTAATGACAATTACCAAAGTTCTCGATGCCTTAAAGGAAGGCAGAGCAACAAAAAATCACCTACAAGGGCCCGACGAAGCAAGACGAAGCAAGACAAAAGACAAACATTAAGACAATTTGCACAGTAGATATTTTTCTGATAATGTGTAATGTTGTTACACTTACAAAGTTATTGAAACCTTTATTTCTATTAACAATATTTTATCAGAAAAGCTAAATTACTTTTAAATTGTTACTGTTTATATTTAATGAAGAAATTATTATGTAAATGTTGCGAAGTTTATTATTCGTATTATTGTTAGATGGCAAATTATTTATTATTGGAAAGACTGTCTGCAACCTAAAATTGAAAATGCATGAATGAAATACAAGTTATACTTATCAATACTTATGTTTTTAATTAACAATAAATTTCATTTTGATACAGATTTTTTGAATACTTTTTATATCAATAAAAATGATATTACGATACATCCTAATATTTTATTAGATAAAGTCAAATAAACTGTTTTTGCATTAAATATGTTGAAAGTATTTAATTGGTGTTTTAAAATAACTTATCGATACGATACTGCTTCAGTAATTCTTGCTCAACCATTAAGATAAGATAATGGTTTGCCTTGAGACTTACTTGAACACGATTCATATCATATTTTATTCATAGATAACGTAACCTTTTAAAAAAAAATTCAAACCTTATGTTCATATGTCAATCAATTAATGCAATACATGTGCTTAAATGTATTAACATCTATTAGCTATTCTCCAGCGTCTCGGTGCATATTTTGCATGAGTGATTTATTTCACGGCGTCTCAACGCCGTGATATTGTGATGGGTAGTTTTCAGTAGCATGGGCAAAAGTCACGTGACAAAATGCCTTTCGATTTCTACAGCCGACATTTTATTTTTTTTACGCAATTATTGTACAGCCAATTTCCGTGAAAAGTTACATAGAAACAGGTTTTTTTTCAAAACCATATAGAATCTAAACAGTATTTTAATCAACACACGAAATATCAGCGTTTTATATTAACACATTTCCGGACATCCTTTCGACATGCTTGAGAATGGATTATGTATGGTGGCTGACTTACGCCATCCGTATATTTTCGCGTCTTCGTCTCAAAATGCGAAAACACGAAGGGACGACATATTTGGACTTATATGTCGGATCTATGTCTCTCTCGGAGTGAATCTTTTCACGTGTAAAATGTTTTTACCACAACATCAAACTTCATTCAGAATTCATGTCTCGTTATTGTAGGCCAAATTCTGAGTTTCCTTTAGATATGAGCAATAAAATGTTTTATTACCCCCCGCCAAAAAGACGGTGGGGGATATAGAATTAGTCTCCATCCGTCCGTCCGTCTACATCTTTGTCCGGAGCATATCTCAAAAAGTATCAATTTGAAACTTCATGGGTGGAGGTATCAATCTTGAAACTTATTGGTGGATAAATCATATTTAGGAAAAGTGCAGTGCACAAGAATGATAACTCTACCCTGCATATTTTTTCATTATTGCCCTTTGTTATTCTTCAAACTCAATTTTTGTACAGAGCATAACTCAAAAAGCTTTTGAGATATCAATATAAAACTTCATAGGCGGATAGATCTCACTCAGGAGGTGGGCAATGCACAAGAGTGATAACTCCACCATTCTTAAATTTTGAGTTATTGCCCTTTGTTATTTTTCATACTTTACTTTTCACCTGAGTGGAGCATAAATTAACTTAAAAAAAACAAAACTTTGAGATGTCAATGTCATCTTCATAGGTAGATAGATCTTTTTGAGGATGAAGGTTTTGCGAAAGAATGATAACTCTACCCTTTATAATTTTTGAGTTATTGTCATTTGTTATTTTCATACTTTTTGTCCGGAGAATATCTAAAAAAGTGTTAGAGGTAACAACTTGAAACTTTATAGGTTGATAGCTCTTTTTGATGAGAAGTGCAGCACACTAGAATGATAACTAACCGTGCATTATTTTTCAGTTATTGCCCTTTGTTATTTTTCATACTTAATTTTGATCAGGGTACAACTACAAAAGCCTTTGAGATATCTACATGAACCTTCAAAGGTGGATAGATCTCACTCAGGAGGTATGCAGTGCAAAAGAGTGATAACTCTACCCTTCATAATTTTTGAGTTAATGCCCTTTGTTATTTTTCATACTAAATTGTTCACCTGATTGGAGCATATCTCTGAAAAAGTCTTTAAAATGTCAACATGAAACTTGGATAGATTTTATTGTGGAGGAATATTATGCGCAAGAATGATACCCTTTATATTTTGTTAGTTATTGCCATTTGTTATTTTTCATACTTTTTTTTCCGGAGCTTATCTCAAAAAGGTGTTAGAGGTACATGTATCTACTTGAAACTTCATAGGTGGATAGATCTCATTGAGGATGAGTGCAGCACAAAACATTTAACCTACCGTGCATTATTTTTCAGCTATTGCCAATACTTAATGTTGTTCAGAGCATAACTACAAAAGCCTTTGAGATATCAACATGAACCTTCATAGGTGGATAAATCTCACTCAACACAAGAATGATAATTATTCTGCTCTACTACATAAACATGGCTCTTGTAACAAGTTACATTATGATATTTAGTCATAGTACATGTTCAAATTAAATTACATTTAATACCATATTTGTCTTGTTGAAATATGGTCCATTGTAAGTTACAAGATATCCGTGTTACACACGACAAATATTCTATCAAGAGTTAAACACTGAACTGCTTACACTTGTGTATATATAATGATTAAGGTACGGTGAATCTAAATACACCATCATAATTCATATGTTATCGTTTAATTGGTTTAGCCCTGTGTTGTTTTATAATTGACATTTTGTAAAGACATATTTCTATCAAGGGTTAACTCAATGTATCATTAGTTCGTCAAGAGAACTGCCATTTTATAAATAGCAATTTTACAAAGTTTGCCACAGCTATTTGGTAGACTCGTATGAAAAGACAACTCATGCAAGTTCCTATATGTAATGCTGACTTTGTACAAAATGAACATTTCCACAAAAATTTCAAATTTGTAACGATATATAATTTACAGATCTAATTAGATAGTATCTGTTTTTTCCTGCATATCTGATAAGTTAACTTTAAAGGGATATTCAGACAAAATAATGACAAAATATGATCTTATGTACTCAAATCATGCTAAAATGACTTTTCTTGAAGTTTCAACATGAATTTCTGTTTAAATTCTATTATATTTTATTATATTTTGTGTTTGAAGCAAAAATATATGTATATATGTTGAACAAAATTTAGACGCCAATAGATTCACTAAATAGTTTTAAAACAAGTCAGGTGACTTAAATAAACCATTGAAGTTACAATAACTCATATATTGTGGATATTGTATGATTGAAACAAGCCTATGTCATTCATTTGACATGTTCTTTAACGTTTACAGAGTTCATTTTGACAACTATTGTGAAATGCTAGCGCTCTAACCTGACCCACGCGGGTCAAGTTAGGAAAACACCATTTTATTCTTTATATGGAGAACAGTTTTGTTCCTTTGAATGTCTAATATATTCATTTTGAGGGCATTTACAGAATAATGAATATTGAAAAATTCAAAACTAAGAAATGAAAATTTTGCCTGTGTGTCCGTTTAATACTATTCCTTCACTCACTAACGATACTTTTATATTGTTATATCTGCATAAACACTATATTTGAGCATGCCTGAAGCTTG